TATCTCTATCTCTATCTCTATCTCTATCTCTATATCTCTCTTCTATCTATCTATCTATCTATCTATCTATCTATCTATCTATCTATCTATCTCTCTTCTATCTATCTCTCTCTCTCTCTCTCTTTCTCTCTCTCTCTCTCTTCTATCCATCTATCTATCTATCTATCTCTATCTCTCTATATATCTCTATTCTCTATATACATACATACATACATACATACATACATACATACATTACATACATACATAAATAAAAACATACATACTGTATATAATATGTAGCCCACTAGCTCTTTAAAATGGTATTTTAAAGAAGTAAATGAGATGAAGAGTGTGGAGTAGAGGAGAGAGGTAAGGGAAGAAGAGAGGGCAGGGGGGAGAGAAGGAAGAAAGAAAGGAGTGAAAAGGGGAGAGAGGAGAAGGAGAGAGGAAGGGGAAGTAGAGAAGAGAAGGATGACAGAGGGAAGAAAGGAGGTAGGGTGGGGGAGGAGAGAGGGAGAAGAAAGTGATGGATAGGGTATAAATATGGCACATGGAGAGCAGAAGAGCCAATAAACATTTTGGGGGGTTGATAGTAAGATGAATTGATGTAAACATTTAAGAATATAAAATAATGTTGGTTATGTAACAGTATACATGTGGTTATATGTTATGAAAATGAAAAAAATACAAAACCTTAAAAATGGTATTGTGTAATGTTAAGTGTATTGTGATAGTTTTCTGCTAAGAGAGAAACAGTGAGAGTAGAGATAATGCAAATTAACACTTGGCAGTGAAAAAAAAAAACACCTTCTCTCCTTTTCTCGCAATACCGCACTCCAAAAACATGGTGGATCAGGAAAGATAACAACCCAAGAAAGATCCTTCACATCACAGACCGAATGGTGGAATTTACTGGCGTGACAAGAGGCCAAGGCTACTAAGATTGCCACTGAACGTTTTATTGCAACACTGTGTAGATAAGCAAAAATGTGTATTTCCAATGCTTTCTACCTGCCTATTAAACAACTATCCAAAGCATTTCAAATCCTGGGAGGAAGAGATGACTGGAATTGATTAGGCTATCGTCATAAATTCAGAACTTCCATCTTCAGAGGCAGTCTACCACTGAATACTCCAGACTGAGACCAAATAATTGGGCAGGGGGAGATATTTTTTTTTGCTGCTGGCAGGTGAGTTTTGTGGCTGTTGTAGGAAACTAACTCACAAGCTAAATGGATCCACCCCGATGAGACTCCGCTTCCAGCACTCTTCTTAATTTCTTAAGCTGGCCCATGAGTGACCTTTCTGTAGCCAAACTAAGAAATTTTTAGATTTTTCAAAATGGAAAATTCCCAGGCCAAGAACTCAGAAGGGAAAAATATCTCTTGTGCAGACTCAGTTGCGCAGGCTGATTTCTTTAAAATATATTTTTATTGTTTACATATCCATATATTATACAGTGTAATTGTCCTTTCATTTTATGGCGTTTCATTTGCCATAAAAACATTGACTACAGTGTAATTGTCCTGGCATTTCATTTGCCATAAAAACCAAAGTGAAAACAAACAACATATACACCATTTTAAAGAGTGCTAGTGTTGTACGGTTATTTTTGACCATCATATTCTAGAATGTCAACTTATCTACCATTCTTATCTATCTATCATTCTATGCCCACCTAACCTCAATGGTTAGAAACATGAGGCAGAAGTTGGAAAGCGAAAGAATCAGGTTAGGTGGACAAGGGGGGGGGCAGGTTGATTTTGTTCTTGCAGCTTTTTCATACAGCGCCCCCCCTCCCCAGTTTAAAAAAAATGTTGCACAGGTCAGTTGCTGGAGTGTCACAAAAGCCTTGAAAAATTCTTTCCATACCACCCTCCAGCCAAATTCTTACTGGAAGGTTCTGCATTACGTCACATAAGAGGTACATCATTGTTTAGAAGTGAATAGTAAGAGATTTGCTGGTGTCATATTTCTGTACTTGTGAATATAAAGGGTGCGATGGAAATAAGGGTACATTTTCTGAGAGGGAGAACCATCGCCTTCAGAAGTGGTGGGAGCTTCATCACTGGAGGTTTTCAAGGAGAAACTGGGTTGCCATCTGTCAGAAATGGTCTAGGGTCTCTTGCTTGGGAAGGGGATTGGACTAGATGACCTACATGGTCCCTTCCAACTCTATTGGGAAACTCCTCTACGGGTGAATGAAATGCACTGTATTTCCCTAATTGACATATTCCATTTTCTTTTATTATCTCCTGGTATACATAGCAAAGGCTGAGCGCCAAAGAATGGAGGCCTTTGAACGCTGTTGCTGGAGAAGATTCCTGGGAGTCCCTTGGATTGCAAGGCGATCCAACCAATCAGTCCTAGAGGAGGTCAACCCTGACTGCTCTTTAAAAGGCCAGATCCTGAATATGAAACTCAAATACTTTGGCCACCTGATGAGAAGGAAGGACTCCCTGGAGAAGAGCCTCATGCTGGGAATGATGGAGGGCAAAAGAAGAAGAAGGGGACGGCAGAGAAGGAGGTGGCTGGATGGAGTTTGCTTCAATGAACTCCAGAGGATGGTAGAGGACAGGAAGGCCTGGAGGAACATGGGGTCGCGATGGGTCTAATTCCTACTCCTATTCTCTCTATTCCTATTCTTTCTATTTATTATTCTATTCTATTCTCTATTCTCTTCTCTTCTTATTCCTATTCTTTCTATTCCTTATTTTATTTTATTTTATTTTATTCTATTCTATATTCTGTTTCTATTCCTTTCTTTCTATTTCTATTCCTTCTATTTCTTATTCTATTTTATTCTATATTTTATTCTATTCCCATTCTTTCTATTTCTATTCCTTCTATTCCTTCTATATTCTATTCTATTCTATTTATTCTATATTCTATTCTATTCTACTTATTCTATATTCTATTCTATTCTATTCCTATTCCTTTCTTTCTATTTCTATTCCTTCTATTTCTTATTCTATTCTATATTCTATTATGTTCTATTTTCTATTCTATCCTATTCCTATTCTTTCTATTTCTAGTCTATTTCTTAGTCTATTCTATAATAGAATAGAAAGGAAAGGAAAGCAGAAAGGAAAGGAGAAAGGAAAGGAAGGGAAGAGGGAAAGGAAAGAAGGAAAGGAAAGGAAAGGAGAAAGGAAAAGGAAAGGAGAAAGGGACTCCCTGCGAACTTTGTTAGTTCTTACCGACTAAAGGGAATATAGAGTACATTCAATATAAACCCGCCTTTCCCGCCCTGAGGCTCTCGGCGCTCTCCCGGTGGTGCTTTTTCCATCTGGCTTCGCTGGAACTAAGGAGCGCCCCGCACCCTCTCCCCAACCTGCCTAGTAAAGTAAGCGAATCGCCGCTTTCTCTTCCGTAGCTGCCCCCTGCGTGCCACCTTTGCGCTTGAGCCTCCCGTTCTCCTCCAAGCCTCAGGGGGATCTCCCCCCACCCCGAAGCGAAGACCCCGTGGGGGGGCGTCATTCGGAGAGGGGCAGGGCGGGCGGGCGGGACGGCCTCCGGAGGCGTGGCCCCGCTGACGTCAGCAGAGGCATGAATGAACCGGGCGAGCGCTTTCCCACCAGCTCCCATTGAGCTTTTCGTCCCGTGGCGGCTGGGCTGCGCTGCGCTGCGCTGCGTTGAGTGACTCCGGGAAGGCGGCTCACTCCGCGGAGGACACGGAAGGCAGCGGTGGGGGGACTCAGCGACAGGATGGGCAGGCTGCCGAGGCTCAGCTGCGGGACCCTCCTGGTGCCCGCCTTGCTCCTGCTCCAGGCGCTCCGCAACTGCCAGAGCCACGAAGGTAAGGAACTGCGCGTGGACTGAGGCTGCTTCGGACGGCTCCGATCGGAGGGACGGCTGGCGGCTCCTTTGGCTTCTCTCCTCCAGCCTCTGCCCGTCCGACACACACACGCACGCACTTCTCCCATTGTGGCTAAGCCGACTTGGGCGGTGGGGCAGGAAGGGAGACTTAGATCCGCCCCCCCCCCCCATTCCCGGCCTCTGGAAGGAACTCTGACTGAAGTTTTCCGGGGCTCCTCGCCCCCCCACACACATTCCCCCCCTCTTTCTCATACACACTCCCTCTCCCCCCTCACACACACTTTCTGTCTCTCTCACAAACACTCTTTCTCTCCCCCCTCTCTCACACACACTCCCTCTACCCCCTCTCTCTCACACACTCTTTCTCTCTCACACACACACTCCCTCTCTCTCACACACACACTCCCTCTCTCTCACACACACTCTCTCCCCCCCTCTCTCTCACACACTCTTTCTCTCTCACACACACACTCCCTCTACCCCCTCTCTCTCACACACACTCTTTCTCTCTCTCACACACACTCCCCCTCTCTCACACATGCATACTCCCTCTCACACACATGCATACTCCCTCTCACACACGCGTTCTCTCTCACACACACACCCTCTCTTTCTCTCTCTCACACACACTCACTCTTTCTCTCTCTCACACACACTCTTTCTCACTCTCTCTCACACACTCACTCTTTCTCACACACTCTCACACACACACTTTCTCATACTCTCTCACCCACACTGTCTCTGTCTCTCTCTCACACACACACACAAACACACACGCACACACTCCGGCCCTAGTTGCACTGCCAAAGTTGCTTTCTCCCAGTGCCTGGCAAAGGTTAATCCCTTTCCTTTAGAGTGAAGCTGGGATGCCTGGAGGAGAGAGGAAGGGGAGCGGGAGAGAAGGGAAGACTGGCTTGCCAGATCTCCAGCAGGGGGGAGATGGTGGGGGACTGGACTGGACTGGACTGGAGGAAGGTGGTTGGGAGGAAGCAGCCAGGGGGAAAACTATGGCCGAGGAGGAGGAAAAGAAACCAGCCATGCTGCCTTTGGTGGCTGGTGCCACTTTGCTCCGAAGGAGGGTAACAGCAGCTCAGTTTCCGGCTGGGCTGGGCAAGGTGGGAAGGCGCCAGACACACCCTGAAAAATATGACTGCCTTGTTTTACTTCCAAGGTGTGTCTGGGGAAGCGGCGGGGGGGGGGAAGAGACAGAGGCCCAGGATGCAGTTACACACACACACACACCTCCCAGACAAGTGTTTGACTTCACATGGCCGGTTGCCCCAAGTGTGTGGCAATTAGAAGGGCCACCACACACCCGCTATCACAGAATAGGAGAAACCCCGGACTTGGCATTGTACTCAAGCATTGCCCACAGACTGAATAAAACTGCAGAACACTGCAGGGAAAATAATCTGTGTGTGTGTGTGTGTGTGTGTGTGTGTTTGTGTGTGTGTGTGTGATTTAGAAAAAGTCAGGGAAGAAAGGAAAGGGAGACACGGATATTGACAAGCCCTAACATGGACAGTGGATGTCCCCCTTAGATTTGGTGGGGGGCAATCTAGGGTGCCGGAAAGGGGCCTCACCTCATCCTGTGTTTGGGGGGAGGAGGCTCTTGAATTAGAGCAGCGGTTCTCAACCTGTGGGTGGGGACCCCTTTGGGGGTCAAACGACCCTTTCACGGGCGTTGTCTTAGACCATCGGAAAACACATATTTTCAAAAAAAATAGGAAAACATAACATAATTTTATGGTTGGGGGTCACCACAACACGAGGAACTGTATTAAAGGGTCGCGGCATTGGGAAGGTTGAGACCCACTGATTTAGAGGCAAGCCATTCTCTCTCTTTTTTAAAAAATGTTTTATTTATTTTATTTATGATACTTTTCACCTCCATCAAACCGTGTGCGAACTGGATCCAATGACTTGAGAGACTTCGCAGCCTGCGTATTTGTGCGGTTCTATTCATTACCATTCTCAAAAGGGCGCTTGTTCTTATATTTAAGATCTCAGGGTCCCGAAAAGGTTATTGATTAAGCAGCTTTGCGTGCTTTGTGGAATCTAGTGTGTGTGGGTGTGTGTTAGTCTTTAACGTTTAAATACAATTATCTCTATTTAAAAAAAAACACCTGAAGAGCTCTTGTTAGAATGAAAAGATGACATAGGAAGGATATATGGCCGTGATCGCGAACCTATGACATGCGTACCACAGGCGGCACACGGAGACATATTTGCTGGCATGTCAAGTCGTCAACTCTGGCACGCATTCGCGTGCCTGCCAGCTGATTTCCGGCCTTCCAGAGAGTTGGGGGTGGCTGTTTTCACCCTCCCCAGGCTTCAGGAAAGCCTCTGGGAGGCTGGGGAAGGCGAAAAAGAGGCCCAACGGGGCATCCGTGTACCTGCCAGCTGATTTCCAGCCTTCCGGTTTGCCCGTTGGGACCGTTTTCACCCTCCCCAGGCTACAGGAAAGACTCCGGAGTCTGGGGTGGGGGAGTTGTGCACGCATGTGCCAGGGTGGGGGGTTCGCGTGTGCATGTACAGGTGGGCAGGGAGACTTGAATTGGTGTGGGCACACACGCGTGTGCGGGCATTAGTGGGGTACGCGAGCATGCACGATAACGCACCCGTGCACAATTTTGGCACACCATAAGAAAAAGGTTGGCCATCGCTGGTATAGGGTGTGAAAGAGAGAGAGCCGAGGTGGCGCAGTGGTTAGAGTGCAGTACTGCAGGCCACTTCAGCTGACTGCTATCTGCAGTTCGGCAGTTCAAATCTCACTGGCTCAAGGTT